CAGGGATGCTGGTGGAGAATCACTGCAGTGTCAGGTGTGTGTGTCAGTGCAGGGATGCTGGTGGAGAAGCACTGCAGTTTTGGGTGCAGTGGTGTGGAAGCACAGAGCATGCACTATGCTCCCATGCCTGTGAATTATCCGGGAAGGCTTCGAGCTAATGGATGCTTCTTCTGAGGGAGGGTGGATGGTTCAGGACGCCTCCTTTTCTTTTTGTGTTGTTAGAATCATGCCATGTGTAATAGCATATTTTCTTTTTTTAGACAAATTCTGGGATTCAAACTGAAGTTTTATGGAAGGGTTGTGTTCAGGCAGGAAGGACCTGGGGCAGGAGAGGCTGAAGGGTACAGTTTGGGCTCTGGTCATGCTCCAGCAATGTCTCTTAGAGGGTGGGAGGGACTTGTCTTTTCGGGAGTCTGTTGGATGTGGGTGTTACAGGGGAAAAGAGATGAAGAGCACAGTCCTGGTTTCTTGCCATGGCTCTTCCATGCTCCCTTGAACTCTGTGTCAGGTCTTGTGGCTGAGAAGTCCTGCCTGCCGTCTGTCTTGCTAGCCCTGGTCATTTCCTTCTGTGTCACTGAGAGGATGGAGAGAGAATAGGATTGTAGGATGGGTGCTCCTCCTTTGTGGACCGTGAGAAAAGGAAGTAAAGAAAGAACCTTTGCTGAGGGAGGCAGCAACCCCTGATCCTTGACTGAAGAGCAGCCCCACTCTGGTTCTTGCCTGATGCACCCCTGGTTGGGAGAGGAGTTTATTGCTCTGATGGTCTTGGAACCCCTTCTCGTAAAGCTGGGGACTAGCAGAAAGTATGGGGAGAGCTGTTCTCATACCATCCTAGTCCTGCAGGCAGGCTTCAGGGAGCCCCACCTGGTGAGGCTCTGTAGTGTTGTGGTGTTGCTCTGTTATGGAGAACCCAGCACAACCCAGTCCCTGCCCAGCACATCCATAGGCAACTACTGCTGTTCAATCTGCAACACTCTTTATTGGACATGGGATAGGATTTAGGGAGCAGCTGAGAGGCAACAGGGGAAATAGGTGGGCCAGGCGGGACAGCTTGCTGGAAGTGACCGGGCAAGCGAGGCCCTCATTCCGTGGCTCTGGGGAGAAGCTGTCAGGTGGTACGTGCCCTCTGCCTCTGTCCGTTTCTGCTTGCTGGAGCCGGCCCTTTCTTAGTCTGGGAACACACTTGGCCTCGAAGGGGAGCACAGAGCGAGGTCAGGTCTTCTTTGGCCTGCAAAGAGAAATTGTTAAGAGTGGAGGAAAAGACCTGTTATCTCAGATAGGGGAACCAAAGGCAGGAGGACTGCTCTGAGTTCTAGGCCAGCCTGAACTACACAACAGGGCCCCATATGAAGTCTCTCTCTCTCTCTCTCTCTCTCTCTGGTACACATATGAACACTTATACTCACAATACATACTCATACACTTGCACTCATGATTAAAAGTCCTTTTTGGATGGAGACCTCAGTTAGGAGCAGACAGAGAAAAAGCCACCTGTAGTCTGGGAAGGGAATCCCCTCCTCCAGCAGACAAGGAGCCTAGTGTAAAGCGTCTCTCCTAGCCCACCCCAGAGCACCGAGGGCAGGATGTCCAGGATGGAGCTCTGGTCCTAAGAATGGTAGAACTGGCCAGGCGGTGGTGGCGCACGCCTTTAATCCCAGCACTTGGGAGGCAGAGCCAGGCGGATCTCTGTGAGTTCGAGGCCAGCCTGGGCTACCAAGTGAGCTCCAGGAAAGGCGCAAAGCTACGCAGAGAAACCCTGTCTCGAAAAACCAAAAAAAAAAAGAATGGTAGAACTGTGGCCAGAGCCCAGGGAATTCGATTATGAAGGCAGAAGCGTGCTAGAACACAGTCTAGGAGTAATTGACTTCAGCAGCTGGACAGCTTCTTCTCCAGTCCTGCGTCAACCCCTGGAAACCGGCAGAGCTTCCCTTGGAGACTGCCTGTCTGGTTCCCTGAGCTTTGGCTCTGCAGCTGTGCTGGGAACCTGGTCCACAGGAAATCAGGATCGGGAGGGAGGGAGGAGCCCAGGCGAAGCACAGCACAATGGGCTGGCAGCCTGTGACTCTGGGGAGCAGACTGGGGACTCTGGGGACCTCTGACTGTGCCTGTGAACCTGGGGTCAGGATTGCAGGGCAGATGAACTGGAGAAAAACCAAGTGGTGGCCAAATTTAGGCCAGTGCTCAGAAGCACAGGTGGCCATGGCCCGCAGCTTAAGAAGTCCCCTTACCCACCTTCACTTCCAACAAGGGAATTCCAGGGAGAGGAGGGACTCTCAGCCATATCCCTGTGCCACCTAGCTCTACTCACTGTCACCTGCCTGTAGCCGGGACACTCCTCAGCCTCTCTCCTCAGTTTCTCTTCCCCTACCATTGCCAGGCCTTAACCTTGACCTTGACTGGAGGAATTGGGCTGAGACGTCTGTATTCGCTGACAGAGTCCGCGTCCCTCCCCGCCAGGATAAGGATTGTATTTATAAACTTGGGTTCTTCCGGGCTTGGTTCCCAGGTCACCTGCAGGCCCTCAGAGCACTCCCCGACCCCCAAAATTATTGCCTGGCTTCCTCCACATTCCCCTATGGCCTTGGTCCCACTCCCAAGCTGGCTGAACCTGGAGTGATCACAGGAGAGATCGGCGGCCTGTGGCAGGGCCTGAGAAAAGGTTATAGATGGGACTGGGGTAGGGCCGACCCTGGCTGGGGAGGAGCGATCCAGATGACAGGGCCAGCCAGGGTCTCCTAGCAACAGTAAAGTGGCAGGGGGCTGGGAAGAGGGGTGGGAACAATGATATCATAAATTACCCAGCCCTCCCACCCAGCCCCCTCTGGAGCAGGGTCCTTTCCCTCCCCACCTGCTTCTCAGCCAGCTGGCCCTGCTCAGTACCAAGTACTCTTCCAGCCAAGGCAGCCAATCCTCACCTTCCACCGGGTGATAGAAGGAATGACAGAGGGAAGGGACTGGAGTTCTCAGGACCTTTGGAGCCTGCCCAGTAGTCCTAAGGCCCCACCAGCCAGCCTAGGAAACAGCCCCTCCCTGGTAGTCCCCGGCTCCTGCCTCCTCTAGGGTGCTGCTGACAGGAAAGGAAAGAAAGTTCCAAAACATTTGGGGACATCAAATGGAAATCCCTATGTCTTTTTAATTTTTTTTTTTTTGTTGTTGTTACATTCGGGGGTGGGGAGTGGTGTGCAGGCCTTGGTACATGGGTGGAGGTCAGAGGACAACTTTCGGGAATCAGTTTTTCCTTCCACATGTGGGTCCAGGATATCAACCCAGGCTTAGGGCAAGTACCGGTATCCACACCGAGTCGTCCATTTCACTGTCCCCGCTCCCTAAGTCTTTAAGGGGCATTTAAACTTCGTACCAAGTTAATTAAGCCTCCATTTCCATTTCCCACCACCCAGGGAGAGGAGTTGCTTTAAAATGATGGAAGCTGGGTGGTAGACCCTTCCATGGCTTTCACCTCATCCGTGGTGAGCTAAGAGCTGGTGTGACAGCGATAGAGATCGTGACTAGATGGTTGGGAAGGGCTCCAGAGCCAAGAATGAGAAAGCCTGTGTAACTTCCTACCCAGAGTGAGAAAATGTCTGTCTTAGGAGCAGGAAACAGGATCTGCCCCCACCCCCGCTCTGCCCCCCACGTCCCTGGCAGCTGGAGATTGAACTGGTGCAGGCTAGGGCAAGCACTCTGTCACTGAGCTACAGCCCCAGCCCAGAAACAGGATCTGAACTTCTAGACACACCGAATAAAGTATAGCACAGAGCCAGACACAGTGGCCTATTTTGGCCATTGCCATGTTTTTTTTTTCCTTTAAGACAATCTGACATCATAACCCAGGATGTCCTGGAACTCATAATCTAGCCCAGGCAGGCCTCGAAACTGTAGCAATTCTGCCTCAGCCTCCTGAGTGCTGGGATTGCAAGTGTGTGTCACCACATATAGTTTATGTAGTGCTGGGGATGGAATCCAGGGTCTTGTGCAATGAGCTACATCCTTTGTCCTGATAATGGTGATTAATTAATGGGTTTTGCTTTATTTGAGACAGGGTCTCACTATGTAGCTCTGGCTGTTCTGAAACTTGCTATTGTGACCAGGCTGGTCTTGAACTCATAGAGATCCTCCTGCCTCTGCCTTTCAAGTGCTGGGATTGAAGGAACGTGTCATCATACCCAGAAATTCAACTTGTTTTTGAGACCAAGGTCTAAGTCTCTGTCCCTGGCTGGCCTCACGCTCACCGTTCTCCTGCCCACGCCTCCTAGGGGCTGAGTGTACAGGCATGATGCACCGTGCCTAGCTTTCCTGGCCGTTTGCAAAAAACAGATATTGATAGGAATTTTTAAGGGACCTGTTTTCTGTCCCTCAGGAGCCCCAAAGAAAATCCACAGAGGAGGTAGTGCCCTGAGTACAAGATGGCAGCCAATTGCCATAGTAACAGCAGAAGGAGTCTGGTTGGCTGTGGGGGCGGAGCTGGTATGCCAGCTGGTGCCAGATGGACAGCCCAGCAGAAGGCAGCCCTCGCAGGTGAAACTCCACCATGCTCAGGCTCTCTTCCATATGCCAGCCTCAGCCTGGTCCTCCCCCCTAGTTCTGGAGGCCCCAGTGCCGCTGGTGGAGGCTAAAGGGGATGCCATTCCTTCCTTGACTCCTGCTTGCGCGACAAGGGACAGCTGTGTCCAGACAAAAGACCCTCCGTGCTCAGAGTCTCCCTGGACCGTGGCCCTAAGGACCCCCACAGATTCTAAAGTAGCTCACTGCTGACCATGCCCAGGACCGGAGAATCAGGCTGGAAGGCTGTGGACCAGGGCTTACAGGTCCTTATTCATTTCCCTGAGCAGAGATTCCACAGTGCCTGGCTCATGCCGCTCTGGAGAACAAGGAGAGGACCTAAGGAAGGAATGGGAATAGCTGTAGGCAATCTGGGAGCAAGCCTCCTGGTGGACTAGATTACTAGTACCCACAAGAGATGCCACCGTCTAAGACAGACCTGAGACACAGACAACTCCATTCACTAGACAGGAACCTAGTGTGATTCTACTCTCCTCAGCTGGCACCCTAAGGCCCAGGCTTCTGGGAGACTGTCACTTCGGTTCTGCCTACTTCCTCTTACTGTGTCCCTCGACATTCAGGACTGAGCACCGGACATTGGCACACCATCCTACAGAGGGCTACAGAAGTTAGGGCCCGAAGGCATTGATCGCTTGCCTCTCTCCTCCTCTACTAGCAAGTGAGGGAAGTCAGAACCTGTATCCCGATCGGTCTATCCAACCCTAACTCTGTCTTTTATTGTCCTTCCTGTAGACTTGAACCCTTGACCTGTAAGTCATTCTACTCTCTAAAGTGTTTCAAACCCAAAGAGCAATTAAAAGGGCCGGGTAGGCAGCAAGGGCTTGATGGGGGGGGGGGTCTCTCCTCACTGCTGATAAGCAGGAAGGGGCACAGAGGTGGGTTCAGGAAAGACCTTGTGCTTAGGAAGGTAAGAGTGCTTTGAACCCGGAGGTGGCCTACAGACTCCTTTTTGCCTCTGGGTCACTGCTGGTTTTCCACTCTCCCCCTACAGGGTCCTCGATGTAAGAGGTGCCCTGTGATAGTCCCTCTAGGCTCCTGTGGGACCAGGCCCCAAACCTGGGAGAGCACACGAGGGCTGGAGAAGGAGAAGCTAGAAGACCCAGGGGACCCAGCTGGAAAGGACGGGAGGGGGGCAGAGGGGGGCGCCTAGACCTGGGGTCTGACTGGGCAGGACCAGGAACCTGCCTGGGAACCGCTTTCTACAGCCTCTCTGGAAGACTCTGGCCAGGCCTAGCTTCTTTCTTCTCCTGCGGACTTCTGGAAGCCTGAGGCTACCTCCAGCCCTACCCCCAATGCACTGAAGGCCCCAGGAGCTAAGTCCCCTCACCTGACAGCCACTGCCAAGGCCACTTACAGAGAAGCCTTTGTGTAAAGCCTGGCATCTCGCTGACAGGGCAGCTTGGGGACCAGCGGTCCTTCCTCTCCTCCCTGCCCGACTTGCTCTCAGAGAATCCCCTCGGACTAAGCCCTACACCCCACCCCCAACTCTCATTATCCCTTACTTCCCCCAGGAAGTTTCTGAGTACAGGTCCCTCCTCTCCATTTGAGCACCAGTCAGCCTTAGAGTCCTTGACTTCTTAAATCTTTTGGTTTTTAATGTGAGAGCTCAGAAACCATCAGGTTGTGTGCACGTGAACCCCCTGGAAGTTACATACACCGCCCAGCCAGGTGCCACGTCCTAGCCTAGCCCCTGGCTGACTTCCTCGAACCCCACCATTTAACCAGCCTCCCTGCTTCAGTATCTAAGGCTCCACTTCCTTTGAGGGACAGGCAAGTCCTGATCAACCATGCTTTTCCTTTCTGACAGCTACTTCCCACTACCTCCCTCCCCAAAGTCCCGAATACCTTGCTTTACTGCTTTATCGGTGTCCTCCAGGAAGCCACCGGGCTTGTCGCAGGGCAACCGCTGGCCTGAGATGAGTTGTGTCTGCTTTCCCGCTAGACTCTATGGGCCATGGGAGTCTCTTCCAGCCTGGCATGGACGAGGCATCCAAAGAGCTTGCCGACTGTAGGAGCCAACGTGGAGGAATAAGGAAAAGAAAAGCTTGGACACACGAGTTGGCACAAGGAGGGAATGACAGGGTTTGGTGAGACTGATTTGGACATAGAACAAGTCCAGACAGTGCTCAGGATTTGAACCTTTGGGCTGGAGAGATGGCTCAGGGGTTAAGAGTACTTGTTGCTCTTCCAGAGGACCTGGGTTAAGTTCCCAGCACCCACATGGCAGCTCCTAACCATCTGTAACTCCTGTTCCAGGAGATTCAATGCTTTCTTCTCCTCGGGCACCAGGCATGTATGTGGTAGTGCACATACATACATGCAGGCATTCCTATACATAAACTAAAATAAATTCACAAATTAAAAATTTGAACCTGAGGGTCTACAGGTTTAGGGGAAAGGAAACAAGAGTGTGGGCGCAACTCACGCCAGTGAGCAGTTGAACTCCGAGTAGGACCCCCTCTTGAGCTCTGCCACCCCAGAGGCTAGAAGCACAGGCACCTTCCCAGAGTTCTTCACAGTAGGGCCTGGGCATGTGAGCATTTCAGGCTCTAGGCTCTGAGCTAATGGCAGGACACTGGGAAGAGGAGTGGAGAGTGTCACTTAAAAAGGAGAGAGAGTTTCTACCTTCAACAGATGGCTGAAATGACCAAAGTGACCCCAAGGGAGACATCAGGTGCTGACACTCGGTGTGGAGCTGACTGACCCAGAGGCCTGAGTGAAGGAAAAGAGGAACAAGTTACTTCAGGTAGAACATGAGAAGCAAGACCAACACAGACACTGGGAAGATCAAGCCGGCATGACATTGTCCACAGAGGTAAGAGGCTGTGAGTGGTCTTAGAGAGGGCACAGTTTCCAAAGGGTTGTGAAGATGGTAGTGACCAGCTGGGCTGAAGAATATACTGTGGCTTTCCACAGCCCGGAGACCCTCCAACTCCGGATGATCTTGCCTGCCCATGCCTTGCCCTGTCCCTCTCCCGCTGGGCTTCTCAACCCTGACTCTTCTAGTACCTTTGACATCACCCGCAGTCTTGAGTCCTCTGGGATCTGTACCCGGTGATCAGTCTTCTCGGCCACCCTGCCTCCATGATGAACCTCATAGTTCTTCTGGGAACGCCCCCTCCCCACCTCTCCCTGCCTCTTTATCTCCCTTTTTAATTTCACTGATAGTAATGTTCAGGTCTATTCCTGGTCAGCCAGGAAATCCTCCCCTGTGGTGGTGTTCTCCTTCATGTCCACCACCCAGGCTTGGCTCTCAGCCCACATCGCTCAGAGGCGGCCATTTTATAAACACCAGCTACCTAAGATGGCGGCCTCCCTCTTCCTATGTTTCCATTCCCACGGCCTCACGTCCTACCGGGCTTTCTTTCTGAAGCCTGATTCCGACAAGGTGGGGGGCCCCGACGGAGGAGCCAAGGCCAGAGGAAGCAAGAGAAAAAAAGGACAGAAAAGTCAGCCCCTTGGCATCTCTCTTTGGCATCTGAGTCCAACCCAGGGAGGGAGGGCAAGAGGGAAGAAAGAAAGTAGTATGAGTTTTTATTTCTAGCCTCTTCCTGCCACCTCCCCCCCAGCTCTCCCCCCACACTTTGATGAAAACAAAATCTCTCCCTTTTTCTCTTCTCCACCCCCCCCCACCTCTTTTTTCCTGGCTTCCACCATGAGCCTCCTGCAATGCAAATGAACTGTATTATGCAAATATATGCAAATAAGGCTTAACGAGCGGAAGGAGGGGGCAGAATGCCTAATGAGTAATGGTGAGGGTACAGATGGAGGGTGTCAGGAATGGCTCCCTCCTCCTTTCAGTTCCCACAGCCTGGAGGTTTGCTAAAGGTAGCAGGTGTCCCTTATTTCTGGGAAAGTGCAGAAGGCCAAGATCCCAGCACAGCCTATCACTTCAGCTGAGGAGTCTTAGGATAGCTCTGGCTATAGGCAAAGGACTGGGGAGCTTGAGGAGAGAGAGGTTAAATAGAAAGAATAGGTGCCCACTGTCTATCCTTGTCTGGATACTGGATATGCCAGCCTCACTGCCCTGTGGGCCTCTGGTCCCGGGTGCTGAGGGTGGTACATGCATAAGCATGGCATGGCTGTGCATTAGAGAGGAGGATTCTCAGGGGAAGATTCCCAGGCAGACCCAGGTTTCTCCTAGAGGTGGGGGTGAGAGCTATCTTTTTGTGTGCTTTGGGGTTGGGGGTTGGGGTGGTTGCCATGGCAACACAGCATAAGAACACCCACCTCCCCAACATTCAGCCCCAGAGGACTCAGGGGTTGGGGGGTGGATAATGGATTGACACCCCCCGATGCCCCCGCCACCTGGCACTGCCAGCCGGAGATGGCAGCGTCAAATAGGAGAGAATGGTCCCTTTGTTTCTAGGCTCACGGTGTTGGGGGAGCAAGCATGGGCACACAGAAGGGCCTTTCCCAGGCCCCGTTCCAGTTTGCATGCCTCCCGCTGGCCTCCAGAGACTCCTGGGGCCATCCACTGGTCTCCATCCCCTGGCAGATGGTGCCCCCTTGCCTTTTCTCCTAGGTAAGCCTTCCCCATGCCTTCTGCAGGGCTTTCCCTTAGAGCCTTCTCCGACAGTGAGAAGAGTCAGTCCCACCTCTTCCTGGTTCCCATTGATACTTCACATTCCCAGACATGCATCCTGCCTTTGTGTGGAACACCCCCCTGTGAAACTCCTGCCAGAAGTGGGCAAGGAGATTCCTAAAGGGGGAATCAGATGCAGAAAAGCCTGAGCCTTCAAGCTTCACTCACCAGATGGATGACCTCTCTCTCTCTCTCTCTCTCTCTCTCTTTCTCTCTCTCTCTCTCTCTCTCTCTCTCTCTCTCTCTC